TTATAAAAACGAAATTAAACAAGGTCATAAAAACGAAATTAAACAAGGTCAATCTAAAAGATAATCTCCATTACTAGAAATGACTTGTTGCCAACTGTACGCAAAATGTGTGTCGTTAGGTCCGCCGGAGAGGAAATGTAGGTCAAAAGAGCCTCTTTTTGCCAGTTTTCTCGCCGAGTGTGTCGCTAGGTCCGCCCGCTGCCCCTGTGAGCCGAGTGGGTCATTAGGTCCACCCAAGTGCGTCGTTAGGACTTGCTTGAAGTCTTACCACATACAAGCTCGCATTCGAAATTTTTGGTCGAGCATTTTCTAAACTTTTTTTCTCTAAAAAAACAAGGTAGACATAGAAAAAATATATCAAAAGATGCGCAATAAAAACCTCTCTCTAATGGACAAAACTGTTTTGAAAAATCTCCTATAGTAGAAGAGAAATAAATAGACAAAGTCAACGCGCATTCCTTTCCGAACAACCTAATAGTAGAACGCTTGCACCATTCCACGAAGGGATTGGTTAACAGCCGAGTTGTCAGTACACGTTGTATAAACGGTGGATAAAAAAGCACCTTCTCCTTGAAAAGTGTCCATGACCCCCTTTCTTACATGAAAATTTCTACATCAAGTACATCTACGCCATTTCATCAACTGCATTTATGCTTACACTTTCTTTGTTCGGTTATAATTACTATGTCTGACTTCATAACTAGTTTTTGGGAATTCTCCAAGGACTACATCCAAGTACATTTCTGAGAACTGGACTCCGGACTAAGCATGCCTGTCTCATCAAACTGGCTCCACTCTTCTAACGTCTGCCAAGGAAAGGAAGTGTGAAAGACACTAGTCCGCTTCCACACTTCAGTGCGAAGTTTCATTTGAGTCAATTCAAATGAAAGAATATCTAGCTTCACGAACTGGCAATAACTACACATTACTTTGGACGCGAGCATTGCTGAGAAGGTGGTGAGGTCATACTGTATGCAGTTATGGTAAAAGGGTCCAGTAACTTAAAGGGCTCCCCTGTGGGTAATTCTGATAAATAAAAAAACTGGGAAAAAGCCAAATATCACAGTCCTGAACAGACCATTTTGGTGAGTTTGTCAGGGATAACCAGCGCTTCGAAATTTTCTATAGATTGTCGATGGAGTTAAGGCTCACACTTGGCCGCTGGCACCTCTTTACTGGAGTTGAACTTCGGGTTCATTTCTTAAGGTATACTCGAAATCCCTGAGATCGGGTAGGCGTGGCCGCATGTTTCAACTTAACCTGAAGGTGTCTATGCTTCTGGTGAGATATTTTCATCTTGACACAATTGTTGTCGTGTCTCTGTCCAACACAGAACAAGATGACAGTTGTCCCAGACTGGAATATTCCACGAGTAACCAGTTCCGTGCCATGTTCAAATGCCACGCCTACTCTGGCTCAGGGATAAGGAGTGTACTCATGTGTGTCCAGACTTGTGTTCTTTCTCACTGGAAATAGAGGAAAGTTTGAAAAGTTAGTTCTTTACAGCAAATTTTTTCCTCAAGGACGGACTTTCATTATTAAATCAACGAAAACGAATAGTGGCTCGATTAAAAAAACGGGATTTTCAGTTATGAAGTTGGTGGAGACTGTGTGTTATGGCAAGGCACACTGTAGCACATAGCACGCACACAGTACGGGAATCAAACATTGGATCGACTCCCAGTTTGGCCAACCGAGCCTTCAACCCCCCCGTAGATGGTAATTTGGTACCATATCCGTCTGGGGAGTCAGGAACTTTGAGAGTTGTTGATTTTTATCACTGGCATTATAGTAGCAGGCGACACGAGCTTTCTGGGGGTCAACCCTTTCATCGAGTCCTTTCCCGGGGCAACTGGGGAGTTGCGATAGAACATGAAAAAATAATTCGATACAATCTTTGGAACACGTCATTTTTATCCTTTCCTTCTTCCAGTTAGACTCGCTGGTCGGTTGCCTGGACGTATAAAACCCTGACATCTACATAAACTGGCCCATCTGTCAGCCATATCGAACTGAAAACGTCGAATGATTCTGAATAAAAATAGGGCTCATCCTAAATGCTGAGGTCAACTGCTACGCCACTCATCTTTTTATTTATTTCAATTGTTGCTTAGTCAATGTTATCAGCAATTGCTTTATTTTCACTGTTATTTTACCTTTTTTTGGTACTTTGTTTACTGGAAATGGGGATGTGGGACAAGGTCAGTAAAAATTTTTGGAATTTGAGGGCCGCCAATGACTTTGGACTTGGTAAGAGGCTTATGGCTGACCTTATGAGAACCGCCATATACCACTTGCAGTTCTGGAAACCCTGGTCGAATGAGCTGATCGACTTTACAGAGAATCCTGAAAATTAGCAAGTACACATGGCCCTGTTCGGCTTGGTGGGGAGCTGCTGCTGGCTGCTACTCAGCTAAGCCTTTGCAAGCCATCTTGTGGAAAGCTGCGAATTCTTGACTTAAAGTGGTCACCTCCTATCATTAGCAAGAATGTACAAGTTCTTCCCAAAATGAGAGCGCTCATTTAACATGAATTGATAAAAAAAACTAGCGAAGTTCAAAATGTTCCCTCCAAGCCAAACAGCGCCGTGTGCATAAGATACGTGTGACAGGTGAGGCCTTATAATTTTCAGTTACGATGGAAACAAAAATGCAGACAAAAAAACAAAAAAAACTCTGAAGAAAACAGCAACTTTTCGCTAACACACGCAAAAACTGGAATCGGTTGTTTTGGCTGTCAGAATCACATGCTCTAAATCACAGCAACATGCCTTAGCTCTTATAAAAGAAACCTGAAAATTCAAACCTCTGGTACAGAAGTATCACTGATAATGTAAGAAGCCAGTATTTCATGTCGAACCTTAAGAACTAGGAAACTGTTTTTTTTCCAAATTAGATTGGAAAGAATTATGCAAAAGGATGCGGTTGAAAACTAGTTAAGCGATCGATAAATATGAGAAATAAACTTCTCTCACTCTTCCTTAGCTGAGTGAGGCAGTCACAGTTTAACAGTGCTGCAAACCTGTTTGTAAAAGACAGAAAAACTTGTTTTTACTGAAACTGTGCAATCGCGAACAGCTAACTGAATCACGAATTCTAGCTCATCATTCCAGTACATTTTTAGAATTGGTTATTGAAAGAATGGTTCAGTGCATACCTCGATGCTACAGCAGGACTCAAACCGTTTTCGGAACCGTAGCCAATGGTTACTTGAGCAGTTGCACCGTTGAAATGATTGTCAAAAATGTTGCGCATAAAAGTAAAAATAATACTCGGTCATTTTGCGTGATCGTTTACAAAGGCTTCTTTAGAGGCTTTTTCACTACTTGGCATCACGTATCTCAGACGACGTTTTTTACTTTTGCGACGATGATGTTTCCCGGGAATATTATGTTTACCGAAATTGAACTGAAAATTCCCGAAAGTTACAAGTTGCACTCAAAAGGTACTCTTTCATGCTGCCTTCTCACATGCGGCACCGATATCGGCTAAGAAAATGCTACTCCGTCTTGCTCCTAACGCAGAGACCTGTGCCTGATCGCTAACCTGATGAATTTCCGTGGTATATTCCTTGTAATTGCTGAGTTTTCAGAATCTAACGAATTGAGCACATGCAAATTCCATAAACTACAAATTCTTTTGCGAATTTCCTGTGATTGGAAATCTCTGTGGTTCGGAAATCTCCTGTTTGGAATTCCCTGTGCGGTCGTTCTTTCAGAGGGGAAAAAAGGTCGTATCCTACATCATGGGAACTTTTTTGATAAAGGGTTTTCCCTCTTCGGGTGCACTCTGGCCCACGGGTACGGCATCGCAATTTGTGGAATATTGGTGTTAGTACGACATCCCCCTCCCCCAAAACGATGTCCCAGTACAACCCAACCCACCCCTCTACCCTAACTGTTGGATCTAACCAGAAGGATAGATACGTATCGATATGCCTGCTTGTGGGCCGAGGGGGGCTTCTGACACCAGTCGCCTCCCGTCGACCGAGGCCTTCGCTTAGCAGATAAACTGGAAACTTCTGCAGTTTTTTCTTCTGAACTTGCGCAACAGCATTGCTGTAGCTCGATTATAGCAAAATTCGCCCGTCGCGGCTTTCCATTTCAAAGTCTTTTTCAGCTGTTGCATGAGGATCTCCCCCTGCAAGGCCACATTTCCATGTAGAAAGCTCGATAGGCTTCCCGTACAGCACCTCCTCCATATTTCAAAACGGAACTGATACATAGGGGCGATGGTCAACTTCTCCATGGAGTGCGCCTTGTACTCGACTTCTGAAGGAAGCCGAATACCTCTCGTCGCGGATTCTGCGACGTATCCTTGACTCTGATGTAGTGGCACGTGGCACGCTCAACACATAAAAGGCCTGGAGGGCTCCCGCCCAGACCACCATTCCGGGAAGAGTAAGTAGAGGAGGATGAGAGCATCGACTCGTTCATTGCCTGGCCCCCGTAGTTGGTTGCATGGGCCATATCGCATTCAGTAAGCCACTACGGTTCTGAATGAAAGCGAAGTGCATGCCGCATCTCAAAAAGAGACTGATGATTGGGTAGACTTCATCCTTCTCATCCAGAAGGACCCAAGGCTTCTCCAGATGTGATTCTGGTCTCAGTCGCCGATATAATGGATTTCGAAGCGAAGTTACCCCCACTGTGCTTCCACTGTGCTTTTCAATCCAATGCTTTCTATGTACCGAAAGAGCTGCACGTATTAGTGTGTCCTACTGGGAAAGGGCATGGTACTATGACTCCAAGCATGCGTCGCGATCGCATGTGACAAGGAGCGATCATCGCGCCGCCCTCCTCCGTGCTGGGCAGACCCTCTGGCTTGTCGTAACATTGACATCGTTTATGATCAGATGTCTCCGAAGGTCGCTATGCACTGGACAACCAAGGCTCAACAAAGATAACAGTGGAGAAGAAGTTGGGGCCCGCACACGAAGTCAATAGCCGTGCCGAGGAACAGGTCATACAGGAGGGGGGGGGGGCAAAAAAAGACTTTTCCTTCCTTGACTTTCGAGGCGCTATAAGTTACACTTTATTGAACTTATCGGACATTTCTACCACCATATTAAAGAGCATATTAAATACTATCATGACACTCCGCCACAGCCTTCTGGAGGAGCGCCATCGAGAGATTCTGCCACGCGACCGTGAGTGGGTGCCTGAGTTCAGCGAGATCGTTGATTTCTCCGCCACTGTAGACCACCCTATTGAACTCCGCCCGAACCAGGTAATTGAGGGGGTTTAGGTCAGGTGACCTGCTTAGATATTCCACCTTCAGGTACTCAACGCCCTTCCATTCCAAGTAGGCAAGAGTTTTCCCAACGCCCTTTGATTCCATGTGGTGTCACCCAATCCTGTAGCAGTACAAAGTTTCCAAGAAGGTACGGGCGACGACATGTGGAGAGGATATTCTTCTCGAGTTGCTCGATGTAACCGCCAGCGCACCTTTAGTCCGGGGCCCACGAAGAAAATATCGGTCTCTCCATTCCAGGTACCACCATCAACTGGCGCCTTGGCGACTGAGGTGAAGATGATGTCCTAGACCGTAGCGACGTTGACGGAGCTGCTCGATGATTCCAGATCGAGAGTACTGGTCTCCAGGTAGCTATCCATGGGTGACTCCATACTAGAAGTTTCGCAGCTGTTTGGAGGTGACATGAATTCCAAAGGTCTTCTCCAGTCAGGCTGCGACTGGAGATGACTTCATATTTTGGTGTACATGAAGGTGATGGGTGAGAGCCAGCTCCTGCTTATCGAGGAACATCTTGGGTATCTTCCGCCCTGGTACTCGTATCCACGTCCTCTGTCTGGGCTGCGAAAACTTTGCTGATATGTGACTCGGTCGAAATGTCTTTTTGGCCCCTCCCCCTGTAGAGATAATTAAGTAAGTAGCTAACTTAGCTCCTCCACTTGGCCTTGAGCTGTTCATCGAACATGGCGATCGGATACTGTGCTGTTCAAGGACGAGAGCTCCCATACTTCGAAAGAGCTTCTCCGTAAACTGGGCAACTGAACGCAGGGGTCCATATTGGAGCGAAAATAGTTTAGTGGCAGGTGGTACGCTTATCACAAGGAGTCGAATCACGGCTCTGGTCCCGTACGAACAAACTAAGCGCGTTCTACCTGCAGGAACGATATACGGGTACCACATGTGTCTGGGAGGATAATGATTGGCACTGAGTTCTACTTCTAGTGGCTGGCCCCCATCGTCATTGCAAATGTTGTAACGTATTCAATAAGCACCACGTTTCTGAAAGAAGGTAGATCACGTGGCGCACTCCAAGAGGGATTAGTCAGCGGCTTTGTTAACTTTATCCTTGTTAGGGTGAGATTTTACATAGTCTCCTCCAGCTCCCCAAATTTTCAGGAGCACGTTTTCTGCCTAGATAGGTTCGATGCAATTGTTGTGTCATAACATCTTATCCCCAAGGGTATGAGAGGGAAATTTTTGTTTAATGGCGTTGTTAATCAGCTCCCATTGGAGGTTTTTGGAACAATTTTATTACGAAAACAATGGAGATCATCAATGACAATTGTTGACGGCATAGGCGTCAGTTTCGAATGGGAATGGAGGAGATTTCATCAACATCATCATCATCGTTGCTCGTCTTTTACGATGTAAAACTATGATTATAAATGAAAGATTAAAGCGTACAACGAATTGCACTCTTTATGCATGAAATAAATTTTCCACGAACAAATGAGTGTCGATTCAGCAACCAGAAAGTAGTAGTGATTTGATCGTGAACTTTAGATGATGTGATGATCTGAAAAACATTCATTTATTAAGGATGTCAGGAAGTTCGTTCCTTTCACAGCCCCCCCCCCCCACCCACCTACCATACAAATTCAAAGAGAATGAATCCATAGTCGGACCTCATTCCCATTGTAGTAGGCATAGTAGGCACTAGGTCCGACTATGGATTTAAGGATGACGAACATGCCTCCTCAGTTGGCTGATTAGCGAACAAAAAAGTAGATAGCACCATCAGAAAAGCTATTAAAGAGGCCTTGTCTATCACATTTAATTTGATTACTGGACCAGAGGCGAGAGCTGAAGAGGTACTGTGCGTGCGTGCTAGGGATCAGAGAAAAAGGATGAGAGAGTGGGCAATGACTGGGAAGGCAGGCATGGTTGCCCATAGATATGAGCACAAGGCCATACATCTCCTGGTGAAGTTAATAGCTAATGGGTGGGATTACTGTTGCGAATGATACTGACCTTCCTTAAAGCTCTTGTCACTTATTTTCAAACTAAGAAAGAGGTTCAACATTGCGGACCAGACTACCTTCGGCAAAGGAATAATTGCACCCGTCGGATGATAGCATAGGCATTGGGTCCAACTACGGATTTACAGATGAAAAGCATACAGCACCACCAAAAAGCCCTACATCAGGGCCTCTCGATTTCAGTTCATTCAACTATTGGAGGAGAAGAAAGAAGTGAAGAGATACTGGTCGCTCCGAGGGACCAGAGATATGGACAGATAATTGAGAAAGCAGGCTTGATGGAACATAAATATGAGCACCATGCCATTCGTTTCCAGATGGGGTCGCCCACTGCTGGATTGGGTTAAGAATGATGGTCTCTACGCTCTTGTCCCTTCGGCAAAGAAAATAACTGTAGCTATCAGGTAATCGCGGAACGTTCCTTCAAGTAATTAGCAGATTAGGGACTGACAAAATGAGTAGGTACAGCCCGCCTTTGTGCGACTAAGAGAGAAGACCTTAACTTCAACTTAAAGGCACAGTTCGCGACCGCAAATTGCGGGAAACGGAACTAGGCACAAAAAAGTGCTAAGTATCTGATTAGCGGAGAAAAGCAGCAGAAAAAGCAGTCCGAAATGTTATAGAGAAAGATAACATAGTGGCTACTAGCTAGTAGCTAGCAGCCGGTGAGGGTCGGCATGGGCCTAAGGGGTGTCCATGGGCCTAATTAGTCAGCTTCTAGCGGAGTTCTTGCCGTTTTTCACATTTTGAAAGTAGCGCAGCCTCAAAAATCGCCTTCCGGATCGTCCGACACATTTGAGAGGTCATAGCCTTATTTTATCGCGGAATGTGCCTTTAAGTTTCAGGGACTTTGAAAAAGGGATAATGATTAGCTCTGTACCCCAGAAAGTATGTTATTTCGAGAAAATTCGGTAAGTTCTCCTGCAAACGAGAAACAGGTAACGACTGGTTCATAAACTATGGCAGAACGGAGTCTATCCAGAACCACGTAGCCGAAGAGTTTATTGGTCAAGGCTTCTATCG